AATATGTAGAAGATGATCCTTTAATGCAGCGTAATAGCGTCTCATCTTATACAGGTGATTCTTCTAGGGTTTCTTAAGACTCCTTCTTCTTTTTTGTTGATTCTGTCGGTCTCTCACTTTTGTCCTGTCATGACCTCTGCCGCACGATGTCACTGTGCCCACGATCTCTGAGCGGTTATGCGCACCAACATTCTCCGTGCCAGAAAATGCATGTTCGTTATGAGTGTCAAAAATAGTCTCCTTGTCCTTTGAACACGTGGAGCGAGGAGGGCGTTTTAGGATAGGCGTTGGGCAAGGCTCCCTTATACGAGCTGACATATGGCTGAGTTGGACTGGAGCCAGACTGGAGTCCAGTCCTCTGATACCGTTAGGCCTATCCCTTTACGTNGTTATGCGCACCAACATTCTCCGTGCCAGAAAATGCATGTTCGTTATGAGTGTCAAAAATAGTCTCCTTGTCCTTTGAACACGTGGAGCGAGGAGGGCGTTTTAGGATAGGCGTTAGGCAAGGCTCCCTTATACGAGCTGACATATGGCTGAGTTGGACTGGAGCCGAACTGAAGTCCAGTCCTCTGATATCGTTAGGCCTATCCCTTTACGCTCGGTAAACTTTGCTCCCCCATTTAGGCCATTAGCAATCATTAGTTTCTTGGACTCATTGGGCTATTTGATTACGGGGTCCATACCCAATTGCTCATGAACTCCTTTCGATATAATTGGCAAGATTTGTCGAAAATCTCCACCAAGAACAACCGTGATACCTCCAAATGGCTTTTGATTATCACAAATATCCTGAAGCGTACGATCCACTATCTCAACACAGTATCTATGATGCATTGGAACTTTATCCCATATTATTAGTTTAGTTGATCTGAACAATTCTGCATGCNGCGTACGATCCACTATCTCAACACAGTATCTATGATGCATTGGAACTTTATCCCATACTATTAGTTTAGTTGATATGAACAATTCTGCATGTTTTGATTGATTGGTAAAACCGCAAATCGAATCCTCAAGCACACTCAAGGGAATGCAAAATGTTGAATGTGCTGTATGACCTCCCATTAATAGCAAATATGCAATACTAGATGAAGCTACAGTAACAAATATATGTACAAGACTGCGCATTTTTTTCGCAATTGTGTTATATAGAAACGTTTTTCCTATTCTGGCACCCCCACTCAAGAAGAAAGAAACTCCTTTATTTTCACTTACTGATAAAGTGATTGCAGTATAAGCAGTACGTTGTGCATTGTTAAGGCAACCAACATTATTTTGTGCACTCAACTGCTGCGCTTCATTCTGAAATTGTTGATGCTCAAACAAAAGTCGATTACCAATTATTACATTCCAATTTTCAGTCCATTGTGGCATGGGTGGAAAATCCAATAAACTCTTGCCTGATTCATGGAGCAGCTGATTTAGCAAATATAAACTATAATCTTCAATTTGATCTTGATTAGGAGTTGAAATGCCCAACATTGTACGAATCTTGTGGCTAAGACCATCACATAAATGCATTGAGAATTGATTCCATAACTCAAGTGGATGCAACGGAAAGCATTCTATGAGAATAATACTGAAAAATCTCCTCAACTGGTGTCCTATTTGCATAATTGAAGCTTCTTGCATGCATTCTATCCGCTCTCCAGCATCTTCTAGAAGTCCTCTTGCAATACATGTTGATTTAAAAGTATCGTACATAACATTATTTACCGTGCGTAAATTATCAAATGATGTTGGTCCTTTTACTACAGTGAGTAACAAACACAGATAAAAACGCTCACTTGAATTTGGGGTTGCAAAGTATATTCTACCAATTGCGTACCCCCTTTATCTAGGTGTCCATCTTTGTGTTTTCTTATTCCAAAAATTTTTTGAGGAAACTCTTGGTAAGTTATCGCACATGAAGATTCATTTAAATGACAACAATAAAAAAAACTTGTCAGAGTTGTATCCTGTTGTGCACCTTTAGAAATGATTGTATTNATTATTTTGTGCACTCAACTGCTGCGCTTCATTCTGAAATTGTTGATGCTCAAACAAAAGTCGATTACCAATTATTACATTCCAATTTTCAGTCCATTGTGGCATGGGTGGAAAATCCAATAAACTCTTGCCTGATTCATGGAGCAGCTGATTTAGCAAATATAAACTATAATCTTCAATTTGATCTTGATTAGGAGTTGAAATGCCCAACATTGTACGAATCTTGTGGCTAAGACCATCACATAAATGCATTGAGAATTGATTCCATAACTCAAGTGGATGCAACGGAAAGCATTCTATGAGAATAATACTGAAAAATCTCCTCAACTGGTGTCCTATTTGCATAATTGAAGCTTCTTGCATGCATTCTATCCGCTCTCCAGCATCTTCTAGAAGTCCTCTTGCAATACATGTTGATTTAAAAGTATCGTACATAACATTATTTACCGTGCGTAAGTTATCAAATGATGTTGGTCCTTTGACTACAGTGAGTAACAAACACAGATAAAAACGCTCACTTGAATTTGGGGTTGCAAAGTATATTCTACCAATTGCGTACCCCCTTTATCTAGGTGTCCATCTTTGTGTTTTCTTATTCCAAATTTTTTTTGAGGAAACTCTTGGTAAGTTAACGCACATGAAGATTCATTTAAACGACAACAATAAAAAAAACTTGTCAGAGTTGTATCCTGTTGTGCACCTTTAGAAATGATTGTATTAAGTGATTCTGCCGGATTATAAATGACGCGATGCATCTTAGGTAAATGAAGTTCCAAACGTACAACAGTTGGAATCTCTTCATACAAAAGATTACCAAATAATAGCTAAGTTGCTTCTGGCGGTGCAATATACCGTGCACCAACATATTGTTGAATATCATTTCCTCCTCCCAATACCATAGTGGTACAATCATGACCTTTGTAAATATACTTGTGAATGTACTTCACGCATCTTATTCCTGCACAAACTTTCACATTTATGTAACAGTTGAACATTTTAGAAAGATACAGATTATATGATACGACATCTCTATTATCAACTTTGTTCTCCCCCTCTCACTATATACATGCGACTATTATTACGATGACGATAGACAGGATATCCATCTTTATCCATACATGTTGATTCTACAAATGTTCGAGGATACTTCCTAGTGCAAACACCATTTTTCATACATGGTGCGTGTGGATTTCGAGCACCACATGGTTCATGTATCATACAACTCTTGATTGTATCAAAGAGAACATGGTTATCATCCGGATCAAGAAATTCAGCACATATCACATTGTCTACCTAAGTGCAAGATTGAATTTTGTTCGGGCCATGAAGGAATAAAAGTGCATGCATATGTGGCAAACCCCTTTTTTGAAATTCGATTGTAAAAACATATGCAACTTTTTTTCTAAATAATTGTTTTGTTTCTATCTCTTTCATCAAAAATCTTCTCTTTAACTCAAAAACTCGGGCAACCAAATCAGGACGATCTAATACTGTTTAATGTGGTAACAAAGTTGAAGAAATTTCAGGCCAGTTGGGATTTGCAGTCATTGTAAGAAAGATATCTGGGNCAACCAAATCAGGACGATCTAATACTGTTTAATGTGGTAACAAAGTTGAAGAAATTTTAGGCCAGTTGGGATTTGCAGTCATTGTAAGAAAGATATCTGGGTGCTAATTGTACCATGTAATAGCCATGAAATCTTGAAAGATTTCAAACATATGTCTTGCACTTCCAGTGAAAGAAGATGACAAAATCATCTGCCGCCCAATTTGTTTAGGACCCAGCTCATTTGCACTAATATTTGTAAGACCTTTATAAAGTTCTACACTAAGTTTTGATTGATTAAGTTTATAATATGTCAATCGATTTTGTTCAATTGCAGCCCAAACATCTACTAAAAACTCTTGAAATAATTTTTCACCCCTCAAAATTGTTGAATATTTAGTGGGACGTTGAAACAAACGATAACTATAATACTGCAACTGAGTCAATCGATTAGTTAAGGGTCTACCAACTGAACTGTCCCACTGCCTCATCTCAGGTTTCCATCCAAGCTCGCAGTAAGGAACAAATAACACATAATGCAGTGGTAAATATGATGGGTGACACTCATTTATCTGCATCAACTCATTGTTTCCACTCAAATGTAAAACAATATCTCTCATTCCACTTGACTCGCTTCCATCTCCAGGTAATATAACTGCATGCTCACCTGCTGTAGGGAGATTATATCGTTGTTGATTTGATGTTGGATTATAACGAAGATAAGCAGGTAAATTTTGACCAGCCAATTTTGATTGACTTAAAACCTCATAAGCTTGTTGAAATTTATATGGGAATGGATTTACATGCAACAAACAATCTTGGACTATTTTTAGAACATCCCTTTGCAACTGAGGATTTCTACAACTATGAACATCTAAAACTGCAGTAGGATCATAAATGTGTAGTTGACTGTACATTGGCTCATGATTTGGTTGTGGTATGAGGGATCTAGTTCGATGGCGTAATTCTCCATGAATAGTGAATGATGTAGGACCCCTTCCAACTAATAATCTTGAACCCAATGTAGCACCAAGACTCATAAATGCATTAGTTGCATTGTACTCTCGTATATGTTGCCGAAAAGATTTTGATTTATCATGATCACCATCATACAACTTCTTAATTACTGAAGGAGGTGTAAGAAGTGGAGGTAGTCTAATATTTCCTTGCAAACAACATGTTCCAAATAAAGTATGTGATGAATTTGAAACTAATTTTTCATCCCTCTAATGCAAAGCTGAACAATAAGGAAATTCTACAATCATACCCCGCAAGTGAATGTCGTTCTTCAGATACATGTTTTCGAGAAGCAACTCCAAAACTCATAGATGCAATTTCGTCTAATTAATAGACACTACATAGATCAGATTTAAACGACGAAGTTAAAAACTACATATTCGATGTTTTGGTTTGGTATAGTTCAAGCACATAAGTGTAAGATATCCTAAATTATTACACATACCTAGAGGATGATTCTTCTTGCACCGTGGTGTCGCTATTCAAGTTTGTCATTTCTTGGAGCATGATCATCGTAGACGATGAACACGATACATTTTTAAGTACAATGCGTTCATCTGCAAGATCATGGATTTTCAATTGTTTCGAGGTGCCTTTGTCACAATTTTGTTGATGTATTTCATTGATCATTGGAATCATAGACGATGACCCCAATTCATTGATCGGCATAATTCTTTCAACTGAAAGCGCAGAAATCTCCATGGAACACCTGGAGAGTGGTTCTGATTGCGCTGTGCTACAAACTTCAACGCTTTGTGGATGTAATCCTTGGAGCATCNATTCATTGATCGGCATAATTCTTTCAACTGAAAGCGCAGAAATCTCCATGGAACACCCGGAGAGTGGTTCTGATTGCGCTGTGCTACAAACTTCAACGCTTTGTGGATGTAATCCTTGGAGCATANTATTGTACTAATAATAATAATAATAATAACTAATCATTTCAATTTTCGGTAAAGTAAAAAAAATACTGTGTAATGACTAGACCCCACACAAAATTAAATTTATGGTTGAATTCAAAAGTTTCATATAGGTCCAAAATTGCAAAAAAAAAAAAAAAAAATCCCTAATGAGTTACTCTCTCCGTTCTTAAATATTTGTAGTTTTATATAATTTTTTTTGTTTCATAATATCTGTCGTTTAATGAAACCAAAACATAATTAATATTTTTTTATTTAAATTTACCCTTAACTTTTTAATGCATTAGATTTGGTAGAGACTAAGTGTCTTTCATATTCCTTTCCTTCCTAATACGTATTGATTAAGAGTATTTTAGTCTTGTGTAATTATTTTTTACTCATATTAGAACTATTTAATGCTTCCTTACTTCTTGTTCAAAAACCTAAAACGGTAATATTATATTATTATAATAATTTTATATCATCAATTAATAATAAAACACTAAGAAAAATTGTTGGATGCAGTAATTATTTTTAGTTACTCTAACAGNTCGTGGTCACAGACGATGACCCCATTACATTTGGTTGCATAGTGCATTTTCTCGAAAGCTCAAGAAGTTTCGTAGACATGGATTCAATGCGCGATCTTTTAATTGTAGCTAGCTGTAATTGAGCTCGATGACGACAACTTGGTGTTAAAGAAGGAAAAAATCTAGGTTGGATGGATGAATGTACTGATCTATATTGTTCCCAACGTGCAAGTTGTGCTAATTAACGTTTTGACATAATAACATCATCGATTCCCTAAAAATATAAATAAAAATAATAATATTGTTGTAAACGATAAAAAATAAGTAATTTAACTAATATATTTATTTAATGCATAGGTAATTGATCAATCATACCCTTTGGCATTCTATATTTTCCTTCCCTTTGCAAGAACAACTTATTTTTTCTTTTCCTTTAGAGCTCACATTCGCCACCGAGTTAGGTTTTATTCCCCCCTTCAAAATATCAAACGGATAAACAAAAAATCATATTCGTTAAAACATTAATAACAATACACGAAAATAATAAGACATGGTACTACCTCACCTATGCCAAGGCAATTAACGTCACAATCATTGTGGTTCACAACGCCTATATTATTTCTAGGTTGAATGGGTGGGCGTTCCAATCTCTCCCGTTCCCTTCGTGCACGTTGTGCCAATTGACATTTGATATAACATTACCATTGGTTTCCTAAAATAATAAAGAAAAAAAATATATTTTTTCGTGAATGCTAAATAATTTCTTAACAATTACGACTATGATTGTGTAAGCAATTGATTAATCATACCACTTGGATCTCTGTATTTTCCTTTCTTTTGCCAGAACATGTTGCTTTTTCTTTTCCTTTTCCTTTTCCTTTTGAGCTAGCATTCGCCATCGCAAGCTTTGTTTTTTCCTTTAATTAATAACAAAAGACATTAATAACAATACACTAAAAATAGTGTGATGCGGTACCTCCTTCTTAATGTTAAGACAATTAAGATCACGTTCACTACAAACAACAACAGATATGTTATTTTTTCGAAGCAAACGAACCTACAATTTCAACGACACTTTGGAGTCNTAACAAAAGACATTAATAACAATACACTAAAAATAGTGTGATGTGGTACCTCCTTCTTAATGTTAAGACGATTAAGATCACGTTCACTACAAACAACAACAGATATGTTATTTTTTCGAAGCAAATGAACCTACAATTTCAACGACACTTTGGAGTCAAACTGACTGATAAAAAATAAGAAAAGCGAGAAGAACATTAGCTTACTGTGTGGTCTAGGTCTGTATCCATCCGTAATAAGACAGGTGAAAACAAAGTACTAAGTATTGAAACATTTTTTATAGAAACAAATAAGAGAGGTTTATAATGAAATCTATAGAATAAGTCACTTACATGGCCAAAAATAGTAACGTTGTCCATTGTGTAACAGTTGTGATGTGATTAACTATGTTAAACATAAAATCAAAGTTTAAGAAAAGAGCATTGTACNGAGAGGTTTATAATGAAATCTATAGAATAAGTCACTTACATGGCCAAAAATAGTAACGTTGTCCATTGTGTAACAGTTGTGATGTGATTAACTATGTTAAACATAAAATCAAAGTTTAAGAAAAGATCATTGTACTTAGAAACAATGACCTTGCATAAGTTACTTAATAGAAGATTTTTCAATTTATGTACTCAGAAAAATATTGGCCACGTACATAACCAAAAAAATGCACATTAGCATGGGAAAAATGACTCACTCAATGCATTTAGACGACTTAGTTTCCATGAAAAAATTCAAATGCACAAAAAAACAATTCAAAAGATAAGTCATATAATAGTACATATAAATGATATAGGCAAAAATAGCAACATAGCAAGAACAAAAAGTAAAAAATAGGCCCATATACTAATTTTTGTGATCCGAAGCACTCATTTAAACTCAAACATAATTTGAAGTCCAAAAGACCCAAGTTTATAATGCACTAAAAGGTTGTCTTCTAATTTAAAGCCAAAAAAGAGAAATAGCAAAATAAAAGTCAAGGCTATAAACACAATTTTATAAAATATTAGGCAAACATAACAATCAAGCCTATAAACCTTCTACACCACCCCTTACATTACCAAAAAGCAAACAGATGTACAACAAACAATCTTGGACTATTTTTAAAACATCCGTTTGCAACTAAAGATTTCTATGACTACGAACATCTAAAACTGCAGTAGGATCATAAATGTATAGTTGACTATACACTGCCTGATGATTTGGTTGTGGTATGAGGGATCCAGTTTGATAGCATAATTCTCCATAGATAGTGAATGATGTAGGACCCCTTCCAACAAATAATATTGAATCCAATGTTGCACCAAGACTTGTAAATGCATTAGTTGCATTGTACTATCGTATATGTTGCCAAAAAGATTCCGATTTTTCATCATCACCATCATACATCTCCTTAATTGCTGAAGAATTTCCATGAAACTGGCAATTAGAAAAGAATTTGCTACTTTTCCCATGACGGGTCAACCACGCTGCACTTCGAAGTCTTGGTAAAGCACTTTTCACACGTAAAAAAGAAGAACAGTAAAGCATTATTCCAAGTCTCCCATTACCAAGTTCACGTGGTGGAAGCTAGGGTCTCTAAGTATAATTTATTATCGGATTTATTTATAATAAGGGTCTAAGTGTTACGTTTGTACAAATTTTANGTAGCAAAATGTCACACAAAACCGCTTCTTCCTCTGCTTCCTTGTTCATATGCTGCTTGTTCCTCATTTGATTCTTCATCGTCTCACAAGTCATGTCCGCGNCAAGCATATATACTTTCACTCCCAGGACTAGATTCTTGTAGCAAAATGTCACACAAAACCGCTTCTTCCTCTGCTTCCTTGTTCATATGCTGCTTGTTCCTCATTTGATTCTTCATCGTCTCACAAGTCATGTCCGCGCGGATATTACCCTCCACAACTTGTAGTAATGCTCTCTCTCTCTCTCTCTCTCTCTATAGTAAAATATAACGGTAATATCACGTCATTACCGTCGCATTATCTCACTAACTAATAACAAAGAAATAAGTGAACTCCACTATTCAAATGACAACNACCCTCCACAACTTGTAGTAATGCTCTCTCTCTCTCTCTCTCTCTCTCTCTCGCTCTATAGTAAAATATAACGGTAATATCACGTCATTACCGCCGCATTATCTCAATAACTAATAACAAAGCAATAAGTGAACTCCACTATTCAAATGACAATAGTTGGATGTGATAGTTTTTTGTAATTAGTGTAACGGTGGTGTTTGTTTTATTTACTCTTTCATTTTTTTTATTAATTGTTGATACTACGTATCATGACTAATATCAACATTATATTAAATATTTTTTCTCTCTCTTACTTGACGATCATGGGCAAGGGTGGAGCCCCCTTGGGCTAGGGTGGGCAATTTTTTCCGTTCATATTAGAAATTNATTTACTCTTTCATTTTTTTTATTAATTGTTGATACTACGTATCATGACTAATATCACCATTATATTAAATATTTTTTCTCTCTCTTACTTGACGATCATGGGCAAGGGCGGAGCCCCCTTGGGCTAAGGTGGGCATTTTTTTCCGTTCATATTAGACATATATTTTTTGTAATAGAATTTAGATATATTAATTGTGCACACCTTAATATTGTGTTCTAGTGATATCGATTTAAATAGACCTTTACTTAAGTTATTGTTAACTTTTTGAATAATGTTACTAAGACATAATTTAAGGACTTAATGTATTGTGATATTAAAATTACTAGTGAATATTAATATTTAAATAAACTCCACTATCTATCTATTGGTCATAAATTATTGGGCCTCCATCAATTAAATCTCAAATTAGGATTTTTTTTTCGTTATTGTATAAAAATGTATGTCGTTATGTAATAAACTATAGAATCATAAATAGAAGATTGTCACCACAATTTTATGTATAAAAGAAATATTGTTGATAAAATTAATTTTTAACACTTTCAACTAATAAAAACATATCGGATCAATTGTAAGTGATAATAATTAGTCACATTCTTGATAAGAATTTCAATTACTTTTTTTTTGTTCATATTATGTATATCGATTTTTAATCTTCTATGTTTATAGAACGTATTAATGTGTCCCCCCAAAAAAATTTCCTCGCTCGGCCCTTAGTGATGGATTTTTTTTGCAGATAGGCCTAGTAAGATAGGAGTACATGGAA